AGACAGAAGAGAAAACTGAGTCCAAGGGAAGGAGCTGAATAGCCCAAGGCCCCTTTGTGAGTTCATGTCAGGGCCAGGACCTCTCCCTGGACCTCCTGACCCCGACCCCAGCCCCGTGCCCTGCCCTGCCCCTTCTCCTCTGGCAGCTGGGTCAAGGCTGGACCCCAGCAGGTCAGGGTTGTGTGTGGCCCTGGGGAGGCCCAGCTGGGGCAGAGGAGGCGTGGACAAGTTCAGCGAGGGAAGTGGTTTAAAAAGCCCAGGTATCAGCAATCCAGACTTGCTGCCCCATCAGCCTCATCTCCCACTTCCTCCCCTCATGTTCCTGGACTGGTTTCCTGCCTGCCCCTCGACCCACCTCTCATGTTCCAGCCTCTGCATCTTTGTCCCTGGGGTCACTCTGCCTGGAATGCCCACCTTCTGCCTCTCTGAATCTGACCATCCCTCCCTTCTAGAGCTACCTCCTGAGTAAGATCTTCCATGAGCACCCTAGTCTTCGGGCACCTCCAATCTCTAAGAGACACATCACCCCCACTCCTTAACAAGAGACACTATGACATAGAGGTTGAGAACACAGCCCCTGGATCCAGACTGCATGGATGTGAACCCTGGCTCCCGTCTCCCCACAGTCAGCTGGGCCCAGTTTCCAGTGGGTCTTCTCTCTCCAGCCCATCTGTCCAGTTCCCTTCTTCCCATCCATTCCTGATGGTGGACACTGGTGGACATGGTGAGACTTCACCCAGGTTTCGCTTCAAGGAAGGACCTGTTGCCCCCACTTCTGGGGGTGCTTGAGACACCTTCAGCTGGCACCTCCTTCCGGGGTTGCCCCAGCTGCAGAGTCGCCTGCCCGTGGTCATGACATCCTGGGGCAGCCCACACCCAGTGCTTGATGGATCCAAAACCAAACTAATCCAGTTGCCATTGAGTTGATTCACACTCATCGCTATCCCACGTGTGTCAGAGCAGAACTATGTTCCATAGGATTCTCTATGGCTGATTTTTCAGAAAGCCAGGCCTTTCTTCTGAGGCACCTCTGGGTGGACTCAAACCTCCAAATTTTCGGTTAGCAGCTGAGCACATTAACCATTTGCACCACCACCCAAGGACTCCCACCTGATGGGTGATGGTAGGGTCTAAACGTTTGACCATTCCAAGCAAATCAGCACAACTCTGAAGGGCCACTCTAGCTCCAGAGGGCCCTGTGGGGCTTACTGAGGGTGCTGCTGGGACTGCCTTGGGGCTTCACTTCTCCTTTTCCCAATCCTGCTTCCATCCCTGCTTACCACAAGTGACGCTCTGGGGACCATCTTCTCCTGTGCACGAATCCCTGCCTCCCTTGAAGTCTACCTCCTGACCCTGACCCCAAACTGCCCCACCAGTCCCCAGCTACAGCCCTCCCCTTCCTGCCTGTCCACTATAACCCTGCTGGAAGCCAACCACAAAGTGCCCACGGCTGGTGGATCTAACGATGGCTAATGGGTTTTCTTCATCCTTACTGGCTTTCCAGTACACTCTAAATTTTCCACAACAAACACGTATTACTTTAATAAGAAGAAAAAAAGTAAAAGCTTTTTTTCTCTTTAAAAAAAATGTAAAACCAAGCCAAGCCCAGCTTGGCATGGCCACTCCTCCCCAACTCCCTCCCCACCTACTTCCCCAGGATGAGTGAAGCCCCCCACCCCAGTGTCCTCCCCTGTCCTTTCTATGCTTCAAGGCCCATAGCCAGTTTCATTTCTCCAGCGTAGGCTAGGGGATTACATGTAAATATTTCTGAATGGTTTCCTCATCTCCTATTGAGAGAAACCAAAACCCATTGCCATGGAGTCAATTCCGACTCACAGCGACCCTACAGGACAGAATAGAACTGCCCCATAGGGTTTCCAAGTAACGACTGGTGGATTCAAACTGACGACCTTTTGGTTAGCAGCAGAGCTCTTAACTACTGCACCACCAGGGAGAAGAAGAATGATAAATATGCCCTGAGATTGGTGAAGAGAGAAAGTATATGATGGGACCAATCTTCACTCATTCATTTATTCCCCAACGTACTGCAGACACTGAGAACAGCACACAGACCCTACCCTCAAGGACTTCACAGCCTAGTGGGGGGAGACAACAATCAAAAGGCTGAGAGGATACTGTGTGAGCTGAGGGGGCCCCAGGAGAGGTGATCAAGGTGCAGGGAAGGGGGTTCTTTGGCAGGGCTCCCAGCCAAGCCAAGGAAGCTTCTGGCAGGAAAGACATTTCAGTGGACCCCTGAAGGTGAGGCATATGGGGAGGGAGGAGGAGGGAGAGTGTTCTAAGCAGGGGGACAGCCTGCGCTAAGGTGAGTGAGGCATGACTTATTTGAGGAACTGAAAGGAGTTTGAAGCAGCTGGAGGGCAAAGGGAGGGTGAGAGGGAGAGGAAGCCTAGGCTGGGGAGGGTGGCAGGGCCACATTAGGGAGACTGCACTTTCTCCTCAGGGCAATGGGGAGCCACTGCAGGATGCAGAGCAACAGAGTGGCAGAATCGGGTGTGCATCTTAGAAACATCACTCTGCCTGCCACACAGTAGGTGCTCAGGGGGAGCCATTGATGTGGGTGTTATTATTCTGAGCATCCACAAACATCACACTACCATACATGGACTTTAGCTATCGAGTCCCTGAATCCCGTATCTCCATGGAGACAGCAAGTCCCCTGCAGCTAGGTCTACAGCCCCCTTGCTCTTGAATTAGGGAATATAGGTTATCGACTCTGGAGCCTAAATTTAAATCCGAGCTCCTCGGCTTTCCAACTGTGTGACCTTGGACAGATAATTCTCAGGGCCTCAGTTTCCTCATCTATAAAATAGGGATAATAATAGTACCTACCTCATTGGGCTACTGGGAGGATTAAATGAGTTAATACACGTAAAGTAGTTAGAACAGGACCTGGCACATGGCAAATGCTGTGTAATGTTAGTTATTATTATTACTGCCTTTCTCCCCCAGCGCCTCCAAGCCAAGCCAGCTGCAGGCATTAACTAACACACCTTCCACTTGCCTCTCTCTACAGGCAAGTGGAGGATGCACTTACAGGCACAGTCCTCCATTACTAGGGGCCAGGACAGAGCCAGAGATGAGGGGCCTCTGGGCTCGATGACAACCCAATGCTCTGACCCCAGTCTGCTGCCCCAACGCCTCCTCCCTCACTCCCTCAAGTTCAGTGGAAAGAGTTCTGGACTTGGAGCCCGGACCTCAGTGCAGTCTCTGACTCTGCTGCTGACCCTGTCTGGGCCGCAGTCTCCTCCTCTGTAAGACCAGGACAAGAGCATCTTGCAGATGTCTTATCAGGCAGGGCTGTCACAGGAACAAGGCTGGGAAGGGGTTCTGCAAATGTCAATGTCCTTCACAAACACAGGCTTTGTGGCTCAGCCAGAACCCTTGGTGGCAGCCCCTTCCTCTGGCCTGGGTTTGCTCATCCATGCAATGGAGTCATGAGACTTGCTCACAGCTTGCTATGAGGACCCCAGAGGCTGAGAATGGCCAGGCTTGGGCCTTCCCAGCCTCCCTGATGCTCACTTGGATTTTCCTAAGGGTTAGGACAGAAGGTAGAGGCACCAGAGAGCCAGACCTTCCTACTCAGGCCTTCTACCAAGCCTGCATCAAGCCAGGGCTCTCAAACAGGGGACCAGCAAGACCCTCTGGAGCCAGCGGGACTGCGGCGTGTATCTCCAAATGACTGAGCCACCTTCCACCCCACCCCTATCCATTCCAGGTCTAGGAAGGGCCTAAACAGAACAGTCTGTTTTTGGTGGCTCTTTGGTCCTGGGGAACATAAGGAAAACCCAGGAGGGCTCCTTCAGGTTTCCTTCCTTCAGGTTCCTACCATTTCCCAGAGTTCAAGTTCATTTATTCACTCATTCATTCATTCCACAAACATCTACTTGGTGCCAGACCCTGGTCAGGTGCAAGGGTGGTGACAGGGATGAATCAGACAGATTCCTACCCTGAAGGCACCTGCAGTCTAGAGGGTGACAGACAAGACATAAATAACCAAGCCACAGGGCAGGCTGGGTCAGAGAACACGGGGCAGGAGGCAAGCATTTCACCTGGGGTATCGGGGAAGCTTCCTGGTAGGTGGCTTGTGAGTGGTGATTTGGACATGTGATGGGAAGGCCAGGTGGATAGGGACAGAACCTCCAAAATCATTAATAGACAGTTCCGTTTGCATCCCTGCGACACCAGCAGCCCGGGCAATGTGGGTTATTTATGATTTTGCCCAGAGAAAAGCAGCCACATGTGTCACTGCACGTGGGGTGCAAAGCTGGGCTGTGGTAGGTGGGGAGCAGCTGGGGTTTAAAGCTGGCTGTGGCCAAGCTGGCTGTGCCCCCCACCCCTGATGACCCTTTAATTCTTTCAATGGCATCTTGTAAGGCAAAAAATAAGGAGAGATGGCTCCAACAAGCAGCAAGGGTCTGGGCAGTGCCAGGCAGATCATCTATTCTGCTGTATCTGTGGGCCTTTTAGCATCACCTCCTTCTCAGCCTCCCTCCCCCCATATCAGCTGTGGGGGAAGGGGTAGGGGAACAGAAGGAAATACCTTTAATCACAAACCAGACAGGAAGCATCTGCTGCTGTGTTTCTCCCCAGCCCACTCTGATCCATAAATAGCCTACGCAAGAAGCTGGCACCAGCCCACCCCCCTCAGCCGGTTTCCGAAAGCCCCAAGCCAGACACTGGGATCACCGGCGCCCATTCCCCAGCTTCCCAAGCAACCTATTGCCTGCACTTTCCCCAGGGTAAAGGCCTCCACTGCCAGCTGCCAACCCCCACTCTCAAGGAGCCCAGCGCAGGGCATCCTGGCACTGCCTGAGTGATGCCAGCGACCCTCGGCGCCTGCAAAGCACCTCCGGCCACGCGCCCACTTCTATTCAGGTAAATGCCCAACCCTCCCCAGGCTCTGGCCTGTTGCCCTGACCGCAAATACACACTCCCGGGCTGGACCCCTAGATAGCCCATCCAAAGAAGAGACCCCCTACCTGTGGGCAGGAGCGCCAGGCACCATCGGCGGCGCCACGGGCCGAAGCGGGGCGTCTCGGGCCCGGCCTCAAGCCCTTAGACTTCCCGGGGGAGGAGAAGGCTGGCGCAGACGCCGCCACCGCGTCTCTCCCAGATCTCTCCCGGGCTGCGGGAAGGAGGAAGGTCAGATCTGAGGAGCAGCAGGAGGGGGAGGCTGAAAAGGAGGCGTGCACAGATGAGCGCAGATTAGAGAGGCATTTTTAGCGAGCCAATGGCTGCGCGGGGCACGGCGGCGCGGTGCCTGCGCAGGTGGAAGCTCCGCGACTGCTGAGGAGGCAGTAACCGGCTTAGCCAGTGCCCTGGGTACCCCCCAACCCGCTCGCCCGCTCCCCCAGCTCCCCAGCCTGGGCTCCCTCCTTCCGGGGGTGCTCCCGACCGAGGGAGGGGGGCTCTGCATGCGGCGGGTGCAGGGAGCATCTCCCGCCCTTGCGCCCTTCTCCTCCCCAGACCGTCTGAAGGCGCACTCTGGGCCCAGGGGTGCCGCTCCCCTCCCCTCTTTGCTCTTTCTTCACTTTCTTGGCCTTTCCTCCGGCTCTGTAGGTTTCTGGCCTCTCCTAATTCCTGTGTCTCCTCGTCTCCTGGTATGTGCGGGTGCTTATGGATATGCGCGTATGGTGGGTATGTTTCGTGTTTGGCGGGGAGGAGAGCCCTCTGCAGAGACGCCCTCCACCACCACCACTCCACCCAACCCCCGCCAGCTTCGCCCGGAAGTGCCCTGTTGAACCCATGGGACAGAGTCACTAACCCTTGTGCCCTAGTTCCAGCTGGACCTGCTGTCGCCAAGGCAGACTCCACGCCATCTCCTTGGGGCTCTCTGAGGGGGCTGTGGCCTAAAAAGCGACCCCCCAACGGTCTTCATTCTTCCTGCCTTGAACCCTGAGTGCTTCTGGAGCCCAGGCACTGCAGAGGGGAGTGGGCTGCGTTCTTCACTGCAGAGAGAGGTGCAGGGGGTTGATGACCCATTTAGCACTGATCTATGGAAGGCATACTATGTGCCAGTCATTGATGAGGAGTTGGACTACAGCAAAGTATAAAACAGACCTAATCTCTGCCCTTGGGTAGTTCATGTTTGTGAGGGAAGACAGATATTAAATAAAATAAATAGTATATAAACCAAACCCTTTGCCATCGAGTTGATTCCTACTCATACCAACCCTATAGAATGTATTTTAAAGTGATATGCATGAAGTAGAAAAATAAAGGTAGAGAAAAGGAAAGAAAGTGAGAGTAGTCAGGGCCAGATTGGGTCCCAGCCTTTTACGGGGAAAGGCTGAATTTTGAGTTTGAATGTAAGCCCCTCAGGTAGGCATGCAGACTCTAGTTTGCCACAGACTGTACCACTCCCTATTACTTCACCTGGGCTGGTCACATATATTTATACTTCTTGCCCTCCCTCTCCACCCACTGGTGCCAGAGGCACATTCATGCCTTTAGTGACCCATTCAATAAGAATGATCTGAGCACCAACTGCATATTAGGTATTAGAGCCTGAGAAACTCAATACCTAGTCAGGGTGGCCAGATGCCAGCACCCACACCAAAGCTGAACAGGACAGCCAAGTGAGTGGACAATGTAGAGAAGGTTTGAGGGCTCTGCTTTCGGGCCGTTCAGAGGAAGGCTTCCTGGAGGAGGCAGCATTCTGACTGGGTGCTGAATGATAGCTGGCATTCTGATGAGCCAGGTGGGCCAGAAGGCAGAGGAATTTCAGGGAAAATCCAACAGCCAGGGGACGTTTGGCAGGAGGCTGAGGCTGGGGTCCTGGAGCATTTCTGGACATACTCTGTGCAAGCGGTGTAGGGATAGCACAAAGCAAACCCCCACCCCCCCAAGCAGCTCCTGGCCCCAGCTACCTTTACCTCAACCTGGAATTTCCATTGGCCCCAGAAGGAGGTGTGATGAGCATGTGGGGGAAAAAGAATAGACTTCACTCAGTTGCTTGCTTGCTAGGTGAAGATAGGCATGTTACTTAATCCCTCTGAGGTTCAGCCGCCTCGTCTTAATTATTGTATGAGAAGTTACTTAATTTGTCTGTGACTTAGTTCCCTCATTTGGAAAATGGGCATGGCAACAGCACCTACCTCATAGGCTGTATGAGGATTACACGAGAAAATCCAGGCAAACCACTTAGCATATAAGTGCTCATTTAATCTTGTTGTATTTATTATTATGATTATTATTATTAGGATAATGGTACTTGCCTCCTAGGGTTGTTGGAATTAGACAAAGAATGTAAGGTTCATAGCATAGTGCCTGGAACATAGTAGGCATGCAATAAATGGTATCTATTATTATTATCAATAACTACATGCAGTCCCCCCAAATCGCTCCCCTTTTGCTCTACCACAGTGCTGTGAAATTCCCCTCAGTAGATAGAACTTTCCTAATATGAAGAGACTAATTCCCCAAGAAACGAAGTGTAATCTAGGATGGATACTAGACTAAAATTTCTGCCCTTCCCCTACTAATACATTACCCTGGACTAGGGTGTCATCAGGGGTTTTGATGTAGATGGAATGAGCCCAGGACTGATAGGTTTTGAAGAGACAGTGAGCCCAGACACAGGACGGACACTGGCTGATAGAGGACACTCAGTGTCCCTTGGCAGCCATGCATTTGGTGGAGGATGGCAAGAATGGGAAGGGGACAGTCAAAGGGGATAGGGCAAAGAGAGGGCAAAGAGACGGCAGAGGCTCTGAAGATAGACTTCTGCCTTCCCACAGCTGGAATTGTGTGGAGAGCAATGGAGGGGCGAACCTGATAAGGCAGATGATGGAGAAAGAGTGGGCAGGGTAGGGACAGGGTGTGGGAGAAGCCAAACTTGGTTTACTCCATTTGAAGTTGAGTCATGGCGGAGGTTGAATTAAGACCTTAGCAGCCCCAAGCCGTAGACCCGCCCCCCTACACACACACACACACACACACACACACACACACACACACACACCTGCCCACATGTAATCCAAAATAAAATGTTATTTTAGAAATTGACAGAACTTCCATGCTTCCTAAAATTAAACTAGCTTCCTTCTAGATTTTCTGATTGTGAAACTTATGTTCATCAAAACTAAACTCTCTCTCTTTCATTGTTTGGTGCCCCTTCCCAGAGAATACGCCTTTCTCCTTTGCACAGCACTTTTCCCTTTTCAAAGAGCTTTTCACATCTCTTATCTCCCCGATAACTCACTTTTCTCGGTCCCATTAGGATTTGACTCATCTCAGGTTCCAAGCCATCCCTTAGTTAGAAGCCTCCTCCATTAGACCCTCTGCCCTACACAGAGCAAGGACACAGGTAACGCCCTCCCCAGAAGAGTTTTCAAATGCAGATAAGACACAAAGAACATGTAGAGAGGATGACAGACTAGCACTGAACAAGTGTGTGAAATAAATCAATGAATGAATGAATAATATATGGGTAATTAATAGTGTATGTTTTTAGCCTGGAGAGACAGAGGGTGATGGGGAGGCTTTGGATTCCCTTTTGTTCCACCCAACATGGAGGGCCTCAAGGAGGAGGTGAGGTTTCAAGGAGTTTCTTTATTCTCACCACATCTCAGTTGGAAAGGGAGGCCAGGATTATGTTCCAGTTTTGGCAGAACAGAAAACTCTGAAGCCCAGAGAAGGAAAGTGACTCATTCAAGGTCACACAGCACATCAGTGACATCTGGGGCTAAAAACAGATCTCCTGACTTCTGGTCTGGTGCTACCATCACCCAATTCCTCTATCTCCCCCCAGACCTGCACAGAAGTGGGGCAGGGATGAGTGGGAAAACTATTAGCCTGGTAACCCCACGGTGTTTCATTTTCTGAGCTGCCCACCAGTGGCATATACAGAGGTGAGCAGGACACTCCAGGAGACAAAAGCACTTTAAAAACAGCTTCACAGCCCTTTCTGCCCTCTCCCTATCCTCCCACCAGCTGGCTTCACGCTTGCAAATTGGGTTCCATCACCTGCCTGGTGGAGCAGAGGCTGTTGTCAGCTCTGCCCTGAATCCAGAGAGCGGAATGTCAGGAGTCTTGGAATTGTGGCTTTCTCTGTCCATGACTCATGCCAGAGGTTAAAACCACCCTGAAGACTTATTGCTTTGACAAGCCCCTCAGTCTGAGCAGGTGTCCAAAGGTTTGGACCAAGTCCTATCCTGCCCTGGCGAGAGGTTCACCTCAGGGCATACACAGACTATGGCAAACAGAGCACGTTCTCGGGACCAGGCACTGTTCTAAGAACTTTACACATATAAATTATGAGGGCAGGTATGATTATTAGCCCCATTTTACAGATAGAAACTGAGGTCCAGGGACTTAGGTGACTTGCCTAACATCACAGTTGGTAACTGCTGGAGCCAGGATTCAAACCCAGGCAGCCTGGTTCCAAAAACCATGATCTTAATCACAGCTAGGAATGAAGCAAGTATTTACCGAGGCTCTTACTGTGCAAAGGAAGATTTTACATACATGATCTCATTTAGGTACTATTATCCCCACCTTACAGATGAGAAGACTGAGGCTCAGTGGGTCACTTGGTGAGGCTCCTCTTAAAATACAATAAAACCTACGAAAGCCAGAACCTGTATAAGGCGGAAACCTGTCAGAGAAGGAAAACTCAAATATTTTCCACTAATAGCGATAGAAAAGTGAAGACTGCACCCAGTCAAAGGCAGAAAACTTTCAAGACCTGGAGAAACAAGGCAGTCTCGTCGCTCCGGCTCTCACAGGTTTCACTGTGTAAAAGCACAATTTGAGATTGTCCTTGGAGTAGTCTCTGAGGAACAGGCTGCTGTAGCCAGAACACCATTGCCACCTAGTGGTGGTATACCTTAAATGCAGGCAGACTACCCGAGCAGACGCTGGCTCTCTAGCACAGTGCACAGCAAAGATTCCAGAGGGCTCTCATGTTTTGTATTTGTTTTTATTTTTAAAATGTCTGTGCCCTGAACAACAGAGAAGTGTGGTTCACTAATAATGACCTTTTATATTTAAGATGTGGTCCTGGGCAGAATTCACCATTTGTAATGTCACCCTCAAAATTAATACCTGGGGAGAGGGGATTCTGTATGATACATTGATTTTTTTGTCTTCCAAGGGCTTTCACGTACATTGTCTCATTTGACTCTTACCGCACCCGGTATTAAGTATTATTTTGACTTTATCTTTTTTAAT